CAATTGGGGTTAGAAGTACAGTTACCTTAGTTACAACCCTACTTACTAAGTCCCTAAACCCTAAACCCTAAACCCTAAACCCTAAACCCTAAACCCCTAAACCCTACACCCTAAACCCTAAACCCTATAACCCTACTTACTAAGTCCCATGATCCTCCAAGTACCTCCAAGACATCATGCGGGAACAGGGCCCTCCAGAGCTCTTGACCATCGCTCTGTGGGAGTTTGTTTTCCCCTTCTCTGTGTGGCTTCAGTGGAACCCTAAACCCTAAACCCTAAACCGTTTCTGGACTTGAGTGTTAAGGGGACCACGGGGCTGTCCGGAGCTGAGGCTGTAACTCTAGCGCGCCGCTGTTCGACAGTTCTGCTCCGCTGACCTTGCCGGCTTCGGCCGCGAGCCTCCTGGTCTAACACCCGCTGTCGGAGAAAATCCAAGGAGGCAATAACCTAGAGACTCCAATACCCCTTAATTAAGGAATATACCTTAAGTTATAAGGCTCAAGGTGAAGCGTAGCAGCCCCCTCTTCGGTGGAGGTTTTGCTTGTGCATCTACTTGTGCCTGTGTTCTTTGGTGCAGTTTTCCACGATCTTTCATTTTGGCGAAACACTCGGACAATGGACGACGCGCAAGCAGCCATGGCTTCGCAGCCCGAAGCTAGCGGGCAGACGCTGGCCGACGCGCCGCCGGCGGAAGCTGCTCCCACTCCCATGGTCACTCCTCCGCCCGGAGTGCCCGTGAAAGCGCCGCCTCCGGCTCTGCAGGTTACGAAAGATGAGCCTAAGGACTCCTCTCCAGAGATCAGTCAGCTCATTACGCTGACCGAAGATTCACAAGTGGTCAAATTTACCAATGGTACTATTCACCTTAGGCAGACGGGCAAAGAGCCCGAAACAATCTCTTCAGCCATGTTCGAAGCTCTGTTGCAGACTATTCGAACGCAAGCAAGTGCAGCCGCCCCTTCTGCCATGTCAGGTTTTACTGGCTTGGCCAGCACTGGCAGAGGCAGCGCTCCGGAAACAGACACAGATCCCATAGAATGGGGTGATATGGACCCAAACTTTCGCAACGCTTTGCAGAGCTCCCCTGACCTTCTTAAGGCTTACAATACTGTTCGCAATCCGAAGAAAGTAGCTCGCTTTGACCCAGCCACAAACTCCTTTACGCCTACCACCAATATCGAACTCCCTTCTCCCAGTGTAGAGACTCCGCCGCCTCAGGTCACGATGGCAAACCTCAGCACGGTACTTGCACAGTACCACGAACAAACCGTGCAGCCCTCCTTGGACCTTTTGTCCAACCACATTAGGCAGGAAGTGGTCTCGCGTTTGGATAAGCAGGGCTCCCTTATTCGATATGAAGGTCTTGCGCTTCAGAGTTTGGAGGCGGATGCAATTCGCCGCACCGTTCTGATCCATGGTTTGCAGCCTTTTACCACAAAGTCGCAGATTGACCATAGTTTGCATTACCTATTGCAACAGGCTCAGCTATCGGAGAGCGATATTCAGACTACATCGAATCATGTGAATACCTCCACTAATGCCTTTCTGAAGGTTACTTTTCTACAGGAGTCTACTTCCAAGCACTTCTTTCAGGCCTTCAAGCAAAAGAAACGATGGTATCACTATAGAAAGGGACATAATTACCTATGTTGGAACGACTTGAGCGTACTCCTTTGTACGTAGTGATGGATTCCCTCACCAAGCCCCAGCCGCCAGCAATAGATGAATATCTACGATGTGATTTTAACTCACTTCAGATTTGGGACAATGCAGAAGAAAGCCTCCTTGCCCAGGTGCTCTACCTACCCGACAAGCATCTCAGCTATGCCTGTTACCTTTTGGTGATTCCGCGGTTTCTTGATGTGGTCAGAACTCACTTTCCCCGGTTCTTTGGGGATAAGCTTTTCAGTACCATACAGTTCATGCAGGCATACGCCTCTGCTAGCCGCCACGCAACAACTGCCCTACGTTATCATTTCTCACAAACCAAAGATGTCTCCAACCTCAGCAAAAAAGATGCAATTCGCTCCTTCCCCTACCCTATCTATCCCATAGAGATGACAGATGAACTTTCTACGCAGCTCTCCAAGAACCCGAACTTCATACTCCAGGGCTTTTTGGGGGTGCAAACTCAGATTCAACAGGCAGTCGCGGATCTAGGTATCAACCTAGAGGATTATGGTAGAAAGGGCAAAGGCTCCACTCGCAACAAAGGCAAAGGTAAGGGAAAACGCTCCGACCGCAGTAAAGGCTATCAGTCTGATATGTACCGCAGCCAGGAAGAGGAGCAAGAGGATACGGATGAGGCAATGCATCCCAGAGGTAGCAAAGGTTCCTGGCATAGAGGCTCCCACTATCGCGAATGGCCTAGCTCTTCTAGGGAGACAGGTAAAGGTTCTCGCCAGAATTGGGATGATTACCACCGCCCTGCTAAGACTAGGGTAGATTACGGAGGTCCCAAGGAACGCCCTGAGAAGTGGTGGAAGGCGCGCGACTTTGAGGACTACGACCCGGCTCAGGACTCCACGCGCCGTCGCCGAGAAGATGACCGCCAGCAAGATGGGCGCCGCACGCGCCAGCGTGGCCGAGGCTTGGATGATCCCAACCTCCTTTTTCCTTGTGAGGAGTGTATGGCTCTAGCGGGTACCAACTCTGCCTGTAATGTTTGCAACCACAAGTACCAGTATCACTATGATAAGCTCTGGAAGACGCAGCTGCTCCCCGACCTTGCTAGGTCCCGCTTCCCTAAGCTCTCGAGCTTCCCGTGTCCTTTTCCAGTTAATGATGACTCAGACTTGTGTGATGGTGCGCACTCTCCTGCCCTCTTTGGTACTGGCAACTGTGCCACTTGTAAAGCGCTCCGTTTGTACTATATTCGCCTTTATGGTGGTGATGATGCCGAAGCTATCAATCCTTACTCACACTCTTATTGTGGGCTACGAGCGTTCGATCATAGAGTACCTCGATGATACTACAGCGAAACTCCAGCAAGCACTGTGTGATCTCACGCACGAGGACGTTCATGATAGACAATCTACGGCTATTCAAAATTGGTTCTATGCGGTAGATTTTCCGGAAGACGACCTAACCAAGCTCCCAAGGCCCTATGTGGATCCAACTTATCAGCCTCACAAAGCCTCCTACCTTAGCAACAAATGGCCAGAATGGAAGCAGTTAAACAGATCAATTCGTAACGCCAACCCCCATAGCTACAGCCGCATGATGATGCTCTTCGAGGCGGCCTTGGGGCCGGCAGTTCAGGAGATGCTCTACTGTTTTGACCTCCCCTCCCCTTCAGTAGTTCCAGGTTTTGCCGATATGGGCTGGGATGATGCTTCTCTTGTGGTTCAGGATCTTACCCCGTGGAGGGAACTCATTCGGCAATCGTATGCATTAGCGATGGAGAGACACAGTATCCCCAAGAAGTGGGACACCAGTTGCATCAAACAGCTGTGTCATACTCTTTTTTCGGACCAGCACGCCTATCTTTTTGAGCAAGCAGTAGATCACCTCTGCCACATTATCTTTAGGGACGAAGATTTGTGGACTGTGTTTGCAGGGCACGCCCCCTGGACTAATGACGCCCTCCAAAAGTTAGCTAGCTCTGGTTCTTGGTACTTTGATTTGGTCTACTATCAGGTCACGGCTCTATTTAAGTGCCAAACAACAAAGAAACACGATCTCCCTGCCCCGAACGATCAGTTTGTAATGTTCTACGATGCAATGGTTGATCGTCTCCCGCGCAATCACCCCCTCTTGGACAATAAGACGCATCTCATTTCGCGCAATTGGAACAACAAAGGAAATAGCCTTGAGGCCCTCATGTTGTTAGTTGCTGAAACCGGTGCACATGACCTAGTTTGGTCGGTAGGGTACATCATTATGAATTTGCAGTTTCGGAAACAAAGGCTCCCGTGGATTGAAGATTACCTTTGTGCCTGACCCAGGTGGCTATCGCTAGCCACGTTACAGCTGGCCTTTATGGCCTTTTCTGTGTCACTTTCGCTTGTGGATTGGTTTCGCCTTTCTGAACATTTTCTCCTGTGTCAATGGACAGGATACGCACCGCTCAAGCTGCCAAAGACTTACCAATGGTATCTATTCACCATTGGCCAGATTTACCACTGGAAGAGTTTCACTGTACATGGCGTCGAAGCCTTTTTTCACCAAGACTCTCCACAACAGCGGCCGTCCCGTCAGGACGCCGCCGACGTAGCGCGTCACTGCGCAGTTTTGACCACTTTCGCTTTAGGTTTACAGTTCCCAGCATGTACAAAGTCTGAGTGTCCAGCCGATTTCGATTTCACTTTGCCGCGCACGTGGAACGCCAGGGGCTTTATTAGCCATAGTAGCACCAACAGGGTTGCCTCGATTTTTTCCACCGTGCAAGGCCACAGGACCAACCGTCATGCGTCCGACCAAATGAAGGAGCGCGCCAGGGGTTTTACGCCTAAGGTTCGTAATAGGTTGCAACATGCTCTAAATGGCAACGTTACAGAGTACGAGGTGTACACCCCGTCCTCCCGTAGAGTATGGTCCCGCTCCTTTACGTTACCTAATGGCATGATTGTTCTCTCCTATTCGATCAGAGGCAAATGTGCATGGATGAAATTTCATCGTAGAGGAATCACCAAAGAAATTGAGCTCACCAGAGGAGAAGCACCAAAGCTATTTGGGCTGCTAACTAGAGCGGTTGCCTCCGCGGGAGGCGAGCCGGGAAGCTGCTGGCCGCAACAACTTGACAGTAAAAGACTCTGGCGAAGTTTAGGGGTTCGGCTGCAGTCCCGTCCCACCCTTGCCAAGGCGGACGACGAGAAGGAAACTCCGGATTATTACTGGAATCCGGCTACGGATCTCACAGCGTCAGAGGTCTCTCCTTCTGACGCGACGACATTTACCAATGGTCAGATTTACCAGTGGAAGCATTTACCAGTGGAACCGACAGGGCCTACGGCTCTGAGCCCGACGGCTCGTAATGATAACCGACCAGACGACCCCACCCCTTCCTTAAGCCCTAAGCCATGCGGCTGCCAAAACCGCGACACCATCGGGGGAACCTCGAGAGGTCAGAGATCATCTCAAGCTAAGGCTCGCCGCTTTCAGAAGTGGACTCACAACAGTAACAAAAGGTCCAGAAGACGAGATTATAGAGCATGGAAATCCGCCTTTAAAGGGACCACCCTGCGGACTCACGGTGGATCCATCCCTGTACCCCCGTCCAGTCCAAGTCCGACCAAATTAGAAAGACTTCGCTCCTTGGTAAGGAAGACCCAATCTACGCCATCTAATTGGCGATATCATCAGCATTCTAGTCCAGTTTCCCTTAAACCCCACACAGCAGTACGAGTAGCTACGTGGAACGTAGAAGGACTCAAAGAAGTGGCCAAGTATGATCAGATTCTCCTTTTTGCGAAACAACATAACTTTCACCTCTTAGCTATCCAAGAAACTAAGGCCGACTCAAGCCACAGTTTCTGTAAATCTGGATGGGAAATTCTTCACTCCAGCACGCCCGAAGGCAAACACCACGGAGTGGGATTTATGGTCTCCCTTTCTTACGCCCATTCATCACCAATTTTCTAGCACATACCCCGCGGATCTGCGAGGCCACCATTCGCATCATACCCCACCCTATCACAGTTTTTTGCATTTACGCCCCTAGTCAAGTTGAGAATGCCGAGGAGGATTTAGCACGCAAACAAGATTTTTGGGACACCCTTGACACGCTCATTTCCTCGCATTCAAACGCAGATCATCTCATAGTTTGGGGAAACTTTAACGCACGCCTGTCTCAGGACATGGACCGAGACATCCCAGGCCTCGGCCCCAATGTTTGGGGCAAACGACAGGCACTCCAAGATGCCGATAGGGATAACGCCGAATACCTCCAGGAGTTTCTCAACACCTACTCCCTCACCCATGCACCTTCTCAAAGTCCGAAACAACTGGTTACTTATAAGGAAATGACGTGCACTGACCACTCCTTGGAGCACCCTGACACTGATAATTGGGCGGCCCTTGATCACGTCATAATCACTATACTGCTCTTTCTGAAATTTTTCGTTTTTCAGGTTATATTTTTCAACAGATGATTAATACCCGCCATCTTCCTTCTTATGGTGTGCTCTCTTGTCAATATCCGGAGCGCTCTTCTCCGGTAGCGGAGCCTAAATTAGACTACTCGCACACCAAGGCTTTTTATCAAGCTATAGAAATGGATCTCCTTTCTCTTACGAAGAATCAATTGCCCGACCCCCCTTCGCTTGATCAACCTCCCTCTTTTTTCGTGGTTGCCTACACGGATGGCTCCTGTCCCAACAATAAGATCGTCTCTCCTGATAACCCCGCAGGCTGGGGTTTCGCAGCCATGAGCTCGGACTCCCAAACCGAGCCGACGCAGGATACTTGTTGGGAGGTCTCTTACGGCCCGGTCAAGACCACGCCCACGGATGTTAATGTCCTCCCTGAAGTCTGGGGCTCCAATAACACTGGAGAATTGAAGGCGCTCATTGAGCTGTTTGATTACCTCCTGTACTACGCCAATCTCCCATCCCGCTCCGATATTGCAATCTACACAGACTCGGAGTATGCCATGCGCCTTATCCTAGGAGATTCGCTCCCTACCACGCATCATCAATTAGTTACACTGGCGCAGCAGTACTATACGGCTCTCCGCACAATTCATAATGTAACACTTTCTAAGGTAGCGGGACATTCCGGCGTCATCGGCAATGAATTGGCCGATTCTCTTGCCAAAAAAGGCGTCACTGAGTACGGCTCCTTGGGTCGATTTTCAGGCCCCCGCGCAGCCGCGCTTTCTCCCCCGGACAGAGGTTATAACACCGACTTGTGGCTCTCCCTTTCTCCGGATGAACAAAGCCTCCGCTTGTTGGAGCTGATTCGCAAACACATACCCCTCGTCCCCACACTCCCTGTTTCGGCAAAAAAGCCCTGGATTTCTCCTTCCACCTTGGAATATATTACCTCCTTTCAGAACCGTACCGACCTCACGGTTGATGAGGTTAAGCAATATCGCAATAAGATGAAAAAACTTGCCCGAAAGGATAAAGAGCAGTTTATTATGACTCACCTCCAGGAGGACTTCCATGGCTCCGCTATACAACAGTGGCGCACGGCGCGCACATTGCGCAAGGATTTTCGCCCCAATCCCACTAACCTCATTGACACCAAGGGAAAGCTTGTATCTAAAGCGGCGCGGGCCGAAACCTTTGCGGATTATCTGGCGAATCAGGTGTGGAAAGCCCCAGACGATGAATCCAAGCCTTTCTCTCCACCGTTGGAAGAAATACCAACCTCCGCTCGCCCCTTCACAATGGAAGAACTGAATATAGTATTGAGAGCTCTTGGCAAACGTAAGGCCGCAGGGCCTGACGCAGTCCGCGCTGAGCTCTTACAAAACGCTCCCTATGTTTTTCGTCTGTATCTTCTTGACCACTATAACCATTACTTCCAGCAAGGCCGGGCTCCCTCTTCATGGCTACACTCCGAAGTGGTCATGCTGGTTAAAATTACCAAAAAGATACAAAGCTCCTTTCTAACTATCGCCCTATCTCCCTTACTAACACCATGTATAAAATATATGCTTCTCTCCTTCAAAAAAGATTGGCAGCCCATTTCGATCACCGCCTCCGCCCCACGCAATTTGGCTTTAGATCAGGCCGTTCGGTAACACAACCCATTCATATACTTCGCCGCCTTTTGGAGGTACACGAACGCCAGACTGAGGCGTTTCACGCAATCTTCTTGGATTGGGCAAAAGCCTTTGATTCAGTGACTTTCTCCTCCATACAATCTTCCCTTGAATATATGGGTGTCCCCCCTCTAGTCAGAGAAGCGATCGCATCTCTGTATCAGAACCCTACCTTTGCGGTCAGGGAGAGCAAACATTGCTCCGAGGTTCATACACAGACCAGAGGTCTCAGACAGGGTTGTCCCCTCTTTCCTTACGTGTTTGGTTTTGTATTCACTCATCTTTTCGAATGCGCAGAATCGCAATACATCGTGGAGCATGGTATCATCTCAGGGGTTCTCAGACTAGGTACCTCTCTTTGGGACCTCGAATACGCGGATGACACGGTTTTATTGTCTAATTCCTTTGCTCAAGCGCAAATCTTCTTAATTCAAAAAGAGGGGGATCGTCGGGGCCTGGTCCTCAATTTCGACAAGTGTGAACACCTAGCACTGAACTCCTCTCGGAGAGTGTATTATGATCCGCAATACTTACCCACACAGGTGGAGGATCTTCGTGTCCCGGTGTCGGACGCAGTCAAATATTTAGGCGTGTACCTTGACCCCAAATCAAACAACCAAAAAAATGTCTCCACCAGAGTTTCCAGAGCGATGGAAGCTTCCAAGAAACTTGCTCCTTTGATGAAACATGGGCTTCTCCCTCCCAATTGGAAATTGCTGGTATATAGATCAGTTGTGCAGTCCATTCTCATGTACGCAATGGACAGCTTATTGCTTACGCCAGCACAACTCACGAAGATGGACTCGGTCCACTATAAATGCCTTAGGCGGATTTTAAACTCTAGTCCTCATACTATCATCGCGTTATCAATCCCTCTTCTCTACCTTGTTCGAATCAGTACTTGGCCGAATTGGCTTTTAGCTCACGTAGAGTGATTTCTCCTTCTCAGCTTTGCTCTCAAAACCGCTTAAATCTACTTGGTCACTTATACCGACATCCAGATTCGTTGGAGACGCAGGCTACGTTTATGCCCTCTGCTGCTTACAGGCACACTCGAGGAGCCAATAGAGTGGGACGCCCCAAACCCCACTGGGCGGAATCTTGCCTGGTAGAAGCCTCCCGGCGCATCAGTTTTCTCCATTCAGACCGCCCCCCTCCTCATTCATTGATTGACCATGAATTTTACGCCATTCCGAAAGCCGCAGATATACGGCAAGCACATGCCTCGAACTCTCTGGTATGGATGGACAACACTCCTCTTTATCGCCAAGTCTCTGTAGTTGC